GTCCAGAACCACTGAGAGATGTAGCGGGGACGATGATGCCCAGAACCACTGATGTAGCGGGGACGATGATGCCCAGAACCACTGATGTAGCGGAGACGATGATGTCCAGAACCACTGATGTAGCGGGGACGATGATGCCCAGAACCACTGATGTAGCGGGGACGATGATGCCCAGAACCACTGAGAGATGTAGCGGGGACGATGATGCCCAGAACCACTGATGTAGCGGAGACGATGATGTCCAGAACCACTGATGTAGCGGAGACGATGATGCCCAGAACCACTGATGTAGCGGAGACGATGATGTCCAGAACCACTGATGTAGCGGAGACGATGATGCCCAGAACCACTGATTAGCGGGGACGATGATGCCCAGAACACTGATGTAGCGGAGACGATGATGTCCAGAACCACTGATGTAGCGGGGACGATGATGCCCAGAACCACTGATGTAGCGGAGACGATGATGTCCAGAACCACTGATGTAGCGGAGACGATGATGCCCAGAACCACTGATGTAGCGGGGACGATGATGCCCAGAACCACTGATGTAGCGGGGACGATGATGTCCAGAACCACTGAGAGATGTAGCGGGGACGATGATGCCCAGAACCACTGATGTAGCGGGGACGATGATGTCCAGAACCAGTGAGAGATGTAGCAGATATGATCCAACCTTCACCTAGTGCAGCGCTTAACAGGGGAAGCTCGCCACCCGTAGGGGTGTGGGAGTATTTCCTCGGGGGGGGGGGGGGCGATAACCCAAAGTGAATATAAAGACTGAATGTAAAGTCCTCTTATTTAAATAGAAAAACTGGAAAAAAATCAATAACTTTATTATTTTTAACTATTCAAAAAAGAGCCTATGTATGGAGAAAATCAGAAATAAGATGAGAACACCTTTAGTAAGTTTCTGACCACTGGTGCTGACCGCTGCCCAAAATAGGTTAGGAAGCAGGTCTAGTGTAGCACTAACAGCGCCTGAGACTGATGTGTCTATCATCTGTGTCGCCTGACTCTCTTCTTGCATATCAAATAACCTGTCCTTATCTACTCTAATCCTCTGAGTATTTTTTATATCATCATATCCCCCCTTAATCCTGTTCTTCTAGGGTTGTTAGGCTTAGTTCCTTGGTGCTCTTCCTAGTTCATCGTTATCAGTCTATCATCTGCTCATAATCTGGTTACGTCGCTGGTCTTCTCTGGTTCATTATATACTTTACATGGTATGGGCACCGTGTTGATGCATCATACTCCAGGCTGGGCTTAATCTATGTTATGTATAATGTACTAAATGAACCTCTGTTAAGGTTTTTAAAGTCTGGAGTGAGTGTAGCAGTCGCTACTTCCTCTTTTAACTATTTTACACCACAGTTTTCTAACAGTGACTCTGGTTCTTAATAAATTATCTTTCCCTCATATCAACTGTTATCATCAGCCTTTCTTCGAAAATTATATTTTAAGGTCTGAGCTTATATTATGACTCGTTTTGAAGGTTTATATCTGACATCTTCACATGTGTATGTCAGGTGTTGACAACATATGCCCAACGCAACACATTCCAGTTTAGTCTGACATGTGAGAACAGTTTTTCCAGCATCTTATCATCTACATTGGAAATATAAACACAAATGCAGTATAATATGATCCTTTATTGACAACGTTTCACCCACACAGTGGGCTTTTTCAAGTCACACACGGATCTACCTGGGGTTGGAAGGTACGAGAGTATTTATAGTCAGGTTCAGAATGTTGAGGTCAGGTGGAGAATGCTGCATCTGATGATCTACCGGGTGGGGTTATAGAGTCTTGGGTAGCTAGGCGGGGATATTGGACAAGTTGTGAGTAGACCTTCTGCAGTGTTCTATGTTCTTATGTGGGATAGCGATGAAGAAGTTTCTTGGCGAGTGGTTCAGCTATGTTATAGAAGCCATTGTTCTGGTTGAAATTGTTGGTTATAGAGATAAACGATGATTCCAGGATTCTTCTGTATTGAGTGTTGTCTTCTGTGGCTATAAGTCTTGAGTTTCTGTAGTTAATTAAATGGTTGTGTGAATTGCGATTTGTGTTTATATTGCATTTGTGTTTATATTTCCATTGTGTCTGTATTTTATACCATTTATTTCCATCATCTACATTTCTAAATGTTGTTTTGTAAAGTTAGACAAGTGTGGCCTGGCAGCTTCTCGTTGTTTCATCCAATATTTTAACTCACAGTTCGTATTATATGTGTTGCCTCTTCTCACATTCCTCTCTACCGCCACTTCTTTATTTATTTCTTACCTTTTGGAACGTAATTTGTTGGATTATAAAGACGGACTTTGTAAACTGTTAGTGTGCACATTATGTTTGTGTTATTCTCTTATCTGTGTCTATTGTAACTTTTTGTAAGTTAAAATCTGAAACTGAATTTGGGTGTTTCGAGGTAGTAGTGATCTCTGTAGCACCTCTGGTGACACTTGTGACAACCCATGGTGTCATTCATGGTGCTGTGATAGTGTCATTCATGGTGCTGTTGATAGTGTCATTCATGGTGCTGTTGATAGTGTCATTCATGGTATTCATGGTATCACTCATGGTATCATTCATGGTATCATTCATGGTATCATTCATGGTATCACTCATGGTATCACTCATGGTATCACTCATGGTATCATTCATGGTGTCATTCATGGTGTCATTCATGGTGTCATTCATGGTATCATTCATGGTATCATTCATGGTATCATTCATGGTATCACTCATGGTATCACTCATGGTATCATTCATGGTGTCATTCATGGTGTCATTCATGGTATCATTCATGGTGTCATTCATGGTATCATTCATGGTATCATTCATGGTATCACTCATGGTATCATTCATGGTATCATTCATGGTGTCATTCATGGTATCATTCATGGTGTCATTCATGGCATCATTAATAATAATAATAATAATAATAATAATAATAATAATAATAATAATAATAATAATAATAATAATAATAATAATAATCTTTATTTTCTACAAGTACATGTACAAGGTATACAGTCCTAGCTGACATTAATGACATACTACTACACAGAAAGCTGCTTGTTATGTAGAGCATTTCGGGCAAATTAGATCAGTTTGTCCCAGGATGCGACCCACACCAGTCCACTAACACCCAGGTACCCATTTTACTGATGGGTGAACATAGACAACAGGTGTAAGGAAACACGTCCGATGTTTCCACCCCTTCGCCGGGAATCGAACCCTGACCCTTCACCGTGTGAAGCAGGAGCTTTTGCCACCAGGCCATGGGGTCTGGTGGCATCCATGGAGTCATTCGTGGTGTCATTCGTGGTGTCATTCGTGGTGTCATTCGTGGTGTCATTCATGGTGTCATTCATTTTATTCATGCTATCATTCTTCAGCATATTCTTGTAAATAGGAACCCTGCTCGCCATTAAAATCATTTACCTTCCACAGCTGCTGTGGTTTGCAGTCACCAGATTGATCTCTCACAGGAACGCTACCAAAAGCCTTTTTAAAAGTAAATTAATTGAATCCACTCATCTGTCTCAATCTAGAATGATTTCCTTGATTTTATCGTGTGTACTCACCTAATTGTGGTTGCAGGGGTCGAGACTCAGCTCCTGGTCCCCCCTCTTCACTGATCGTTATTAGGCCCGGTGGCCTGGTGGCTAAAGCTCCCGCTTCACACACGGAGGGCCCGGGTTCGATTCCCGGCGGGTGGAAATATTTCGACACGTTTCCTTACACCTGTTGTCCTGTTCACCTAGCAGCAAATAGGTACCTGGGTGTTAGTCGACTGGTGTGGGTCGCATCCTGGGGGACAAGATTAAGGACCCAATGGAAATAAGTTAGACAGTCCTCGATGACGAACTGACTTTTTTGGGTTATCCTGGGTGGCTAACCCTCCGGGGTTAAAAATCCGAACGAAATCTTATCTTATCTTATCTTATCTCTCTCTCTCTCTCTCTCTCTCTCACTCTGCTTCCTGAGCTTTGTCATACCTCGTCTTAAAGCTATGTATGGTTCCTGCCTCCACTACATCACTTGCTAGGATATTCCACTTCCTGACAACTCTATGACTGAAGAAATACTTCCTAATATCCCTGTGACTCGTCTGAGTCTTCAGCATCCAATTGTGATCCCTTGTTTCTGTGTCCCCTCTCTGGAACATCCTGTCTCTGTCCACCTTATCTATTCCAAGCAGAATTTTGTATGTAGTTATCATGTCTCCCCTGTCCTCTAGTGTCGTCAGTCCGATCTCCCCCAATCTTTCATCGTAGGACATTTCCCTGAGCTCCGGAACTAGCCTTGTTGCAAACTTTTGTACTTTCTCTAGCTTCTTGACGTACTTGAATAGGTGTGGGCTCCAAACTGGTGCTGCATACTTCAGTATGGGTCTGACGTACACAGTGCACAGTGTTTTGAACGATTCCTTACTAAAATGTCGGAACGCTGTTCTCAGGTTTGCCAGGCGCCCATATGCTGCAGCAGTTATCTGGTTGATGTGTGCCTCTGAAGACGTGCTCGGTGTTATGGTCACCCCAAGATCTTTCCCCTTGAGTGAGGTTTGCAGTCTTTGTCCACCTAGCCTATACTCTGTCTGGGGTCTTCTTTGCCCTTCTCCAATCTTCATGACTTTGCATTTGGCAGTGTTGAATTCAAGAAGCCAGTTGCTGGACCACGTGTCCAGCCTGTCCGGGTCTCTTTGAAGTCCTGCCTGATCCTCATCTGATTTAATTCTTCTCATTAACTTCACATCATCTGCGAACAGAGTGTGTGTGTGTGTGTGTGTGTGTGTGTGTGTGTGTGTGTGTGTGTGTGTGTGTGTGTGTGTGTGTGTGTGTGTGTATGTGTATATGTGTGTGTGTGTGTGTGTGTGCTGGTCTCAAACACTTGTGTGGACATGTGAGTGTATTACACTTCAACATCTGTGTGTGGTTGTACGAGTCGAGTCACAGTTTGTGTGTGTGTACTCACCTATTTGTACTCGCTTATTTGTGGTTTCAGAGGTCGATTCACAGCTCCTGGTCCAGCCTCTTCACTGACTGCTACTGGGTACACACTCCCAGAGCTCCAGGAGCTTTGCCGTATCCCTTCATAAAGTAATGAATGTATGAATGTATGTATGTGTGTGTTGGTGTCCAGCTATCATCTCGGAATGTATGTGGGTGTTTGTTTATTGGTCAATAACACCTGTGTGGGCGTGTGTTTATTGGTCACTAATACCTGTGTGGATGTGTGTTTATTGGTCACTAACACCTGTGTGGGTGTGTTTATTGGTCATTAAGACTGTGGGCGTGTGTTTATTGGTCACTAATACTTGTGTGGATGTGTTTATTGGTCGCTAATACCTGTGTGGATTTTTGTTTATTGGTCACTAAGACCTGTGTGGGTGTGTGTTTATTGGTCACTAACACCTGTTTGAGTGTGTGTTTATCAGTCACTAACACCTGTTTGAGTGTGTGTTTATCAGTTACTAACACCTGTGTAGGTGTGTGTTGGTCCCAAATACCTGTGTGGGTGTGTGTTGGTCAGTAACACCTGTGTGGGTGTGTACTGGTCACTAACACCTCTGTTGGTGTATGTTGGTCCCTAACACCTGTATGGGTGTGTTGGTCAATAACACCTGTGTGGGCATGTGCTGGTCCTTAACACCTGTGTGGGCGTGTGTTGGTCCATAACACAATTGTGAGTGTGTGGTGGTTTGTAACACCTGTGTGGGTGTGTGATGGTCCCTACGACCTGTGAGAGTGTGTGTTGGTTCATAACACCTATGGAGGTGTGTGATGGTCCTTAACAGCTGTGTGGGTCTGTGCTGGTTCCTAATACCTGTATCGGCGTGTATTGGTCTCTAATTCCTGTGTGGGTGTGTGTTGGTCACTAACACCTGTGTGGGCGTGTGTTGGTCACTGACACCTGTGCGGGCGTGTGTTGGTTCCTAACAACCGTGTGGGAATGTGTTGGTCCCTAACACCTGTGTGGGTATGTGTTGGTCCCTAACACCTGTGTGGGTATGTGTTGGTCCCTAACACCTGTGTGAGCGAGAGTAGGTCTCATATTCAATATAAATGTGACAAAGTATCTGTCATTCCTCTCTCGCTTCCTCACATCCCTCACTCATTCACCTGCTACTACAAGGATAAAGGTCATTTTGCACAAGGTCCAAAAGAGGTCAATGACCTTCCCACACCGCAACTTAATGCAGAAATGTCTTACACTTCTTTCGAACTATGAAAAACAACTTCAATCAACAAATCTAAAATATTAATTAATGGTGTAGATTCATTTTTAGAAAAGCATATGAACATATCACGTACACTGTATGTTGCAAAGAGACGATTCTGATATTCTCTCTGGCCGAGTATTGTTCCCATTACCTGAGTGGGCATTAATTTGTGAGTGGGAATGTGTGGAGGCATAACTATCACTTCAATCATCCTCAATATGTAACCAAAAGTTATATACAGCGATACCTCTCATATCCGAACTATATGGGCCGAGACCGGTTCGGAAACGTGTATTTTCCGGATACGTGAGGGGTAAAAAATGCGCATCACTACCGTCATATCGCCATCTGTACCCCGTCATATCGCCATCTGCGACGGCGTTGTAGGTTTAAAAACTAATTCAACGTCGTCTATAACAGCCTCCCGGATTTCACAGACCACAGAACCATAACTTTTCAAATGGGCTGTGGAGAGTGGCTGCTCCAAATACTCCAAAAGTGTTTCGACACCTGCCCATGATGCTCATGTTTTTGGTCTTGGAGACATTGGATCATTCTCGTCGTCGTCACATTCGGAATGTTCCCGGTGCAACACTGATTCTGCAATCTCTGCATCCGTCAGAGATTGCACACCAGGGTCGTCTTCGTTGCACTTTAGCCAGTCCTGCACGTCGTCTTCTGCAGTTTTTCCCCAGCCTTGAGTAACTGGCGATGGAAATCTTTCGCCTTGAATCCATCAAAATCAATAACTGGATCAATCACATGAAGGTGAGAAGATGGGTATAACAAACTTATTGTCCCATCATATCCCACTTGAACCTGGTACCAGACCTATTTATATACCTGCATACAGAATGCCTCATTCACAAGTTGCTGTCGCAGAAGAACTGATCAATCAGATGCTTGATGATTGAGTTATCATACCTAGTAATTCACCCTGGAATGCACCCTTGATCCTAGTAACTAGGAAGGATGGTACTTGGCGCCCAGTGATTGACTTTAGGAAGTTAAATGCGAAAACTATTCCAGATCACTTCCCACTTTCTGTACTTGGTGACCTTTTACATAACATCAGAGATAACAAAGTCTTTTCAACCCTGGACTTGTTACAAAGGTTTTGGTAAGTCCCTCTTCATAAGGACAGCTAAGAGCTAATCCCATTTTCCACTCCTACAGGTCATTATCACTTCCTCCGTATGGCCTACGGTTTACGATCTTCACCTATCACATTTTTGAGGCTCATGACTAATATCTTTAGAGGCCTCATAGGTAATGCACTTAAGGTGTACTTAGATGACGTAATCGTCATGTCTGAAGACATGGATACACACCTGAGAAGCCTTGGTGTAGTACTTTGTAAGCTTGAAGAAGCCAATTTAAAGATCAAACTGTTTAAATGTCAATTTTTCAGATCAGAAATCAAGTTTCTTGGCCACGTAGTCACTCATAGAGGGATTATTACTGACCAAAGTACAGTAACTGCAGTATTAAATTTTCCATCTCCCAAAACTGCTGATGCTGATGCTGAAGCTTTGTGGGCTTAGCAGGTTTTAATAGATCTTTCATTGCCAATTTTTCTTCCACAGCTGCTCCTCTGAGTTGCTTAAGAAAGATGCTCCTTTCGTTTGGACCTTCCGTCAAGAAAGAGCATTCCAAACTCTCAAAGAAAAGCTAACATCTGCTCCAATTTTTAAATTTCAAGATTTTTCTAAGCCTTTCTATCTGACAAATGATGCTAGTTCAATTGGCATAGGTGCCGTACTAGCTCAGAAGACTGATGGCAGGTACAACACAGTTTCATTTGTTAGCCGAGTCCTTACAAAGGCTGAACATAATTATACAGTAACTGAGCAAGAAGCTTTAGCAATAGTATGGTCTTTAAAGCACTTCCGAGACATTATATATCAGTACTCTGTTCATGTCTTGACAGACCATGCTCCACTGATACCTTTATCCCAGAACAAACAACCTACTGGAAGGTTAGCCAGATGGACCCTGACTATCCCAGAGTTCAATCCTACCTTTGAACACTTACCTGGCAAGTCAAATGTAGTCGCAGATGCTTTATTGTGACATGTTAGTATAGTAACTGCAAACCCTCCATTTACTGCCGAAGATGTAAATAATGCTCAATGAACAGATACCATGTGGTCTGGTGTAATTCAATTCCTGCTCCAGGAAGATCTTATTTTGACTGTGAAGCCACCAGCACCCATCAGTGACTTTGTCACGAACCAAGAATTACTGTATTGAACAGCTGAGCTGGGTACTCCTAGCAGAAGAGTATACCAGTTAGTAATTCCAGTCACTAGTGAATGTAGCCTTACAGCTAGTTCACGATGTACCAGGTGTTGTGCACCCTGGTACAGATCGTTCTGTAAAGCAAGCCAGACTGAAATGCTTTTGGCTTCGTATGGCAACTGATATTTCTGAGTATGTTAAGAAATGTAGTGTCTGCATGCAACATAAAGGCAATGTTAATGGTCCTAATCCAATCCAGGTGTATCCAACTACCACCGAACCAAGAGAAAGAGTTGCGCTAGATCTGTTAACTAATTTCCAATGTTCCCTCCAGGGCAACAAACATTTGTGTGTTATGACAGATCATTTCACCAGATATTGTGAGTCAGTTCCTATTGCAGATAAGACTGCCGAGACAGTAGCTAAAGCATTTAAAGAATGTATCATCTGCAGGCATATGACTCCTAAGTCCCTAGTAACCAATAATGGAGATGAATTCTGTATGAGATTCTTGAAAAATTGTGTACTTTGTACAAGATCTCTAAATCTACTATGTCCCTCACTATCCTGCTAGTAATGGGTTAGTGGAAAGAACTAAAGAAAGTACTTGATGTTTGAGAGCCACTATCAATCCCAAGAGTGAAACTTGGGATGAAGTTATACCTGCTGTTCAATGTGCAATCAATTCTACTTACATTGCTTCTATAGGTGACACTCCATATTATGCATTGTATGGTGTAGATAAACATTTGCCATGAGTTGTTATATTCTAACCCAAAACCAAATTACAACCCTGATGATTTCATAGCAACTCGTACCAGCTTCGCTCAAAGTGTTTTTAGAAGAATCCGTGAAACACTTCACAAATCAACAGCAGAATTTACAAGTCACTAATACTCAAGCAAAGCCGACCAAAATTAAAGTAGGTTCGAGAGTTATGCTGACTAACTTTAACAAAACATCTGCAATGCCTAAGCTCGACCAAAAGTTTGTTGGTCCTTATCGAGTTGAATATATCCATGGCAATAAGAATAAAGTTAGAAAAATTAGTACTGGTCAGTATAAAGATTCACATTTAGATCATATGAAGTTAGTATGTGATGATGATGATGTTCCTACTCAGACTAATGTAACAGACTGACAATCCTCCTGACTCTGTACCCTCTACCTCTAATCCTCAGACGATCAACCTAAATGTCGTTATTCTCTACATAAATGACAAGTACTGAGAAATCCTCAAGTATCATTTGTAAATACCAGTTCAGATCTGCCTCAACCACGACATGAGTTAGCCATTGCAACAGAGTTTGATCCTCCCAGAGATGATACCCATTCTGCATGTGTAAATCTCACCCTCGCAGAGTTGGGGTTAAATGTAAATAACCTGTATAGATGAATAATATAGTTTAAAGTGTATTTCTACTGTCTGCTACAATATCAACTTATTAATATTCAAGAAATTTTTGGGGGGTTCACGTTCTCTCTGAATTCTGAGATTTAACAGTCTAGATTTGAGTGCACCAAGTCTGCCTTTTATGTTAAACACTTCTTTCTTTGCACATATCCTTCCTCAGAATCCATAGATCGCATGAATACAGATTGATCGATCAATTTTTTTTTATCACTTTTATTGTATAATCCCATCATTGAGTCTATTAATTATGAATTGTGATATATCAAACCTTGTAATAAGTTCCATTATATTAGCTTCCATTCTAATAATATCCTCATGTACAGTTATAATGTTCAACTGTTGTGCACTTTGACATTGTACAGAATCAGCCCAGAGCAGTATGCCTGTTGCCTCTAGTTTGCATCAGCTGTATGTCGGGATGCCATATGTTAGTGTCGCCGAGCTCTCAGTAGTATCAGTTACCAGTAGTGTCAGTAGTATGTGACTCATACAACCATTACTGATTCACCATCTCCCTTCGTGATCACTGACCATTATTGAGTCATTCTGCTGACCATAGCATGATGTTTGAATGCCATTTGCCCTCTGAGCTTGGTACGAGTAGTTTTAGACGAGGTGTAAGAGAGAAGACAGGTCAGGCTTGGCACTCCTCCTTTAGTACTCATAATTATAAGTTACCAGCCATCCGAAGAGTGTTTTTTACCCAGGCGAGGGTTGGTGGCGGGACATCATTCCAGGCCTGGGCGAGGTTATGAATGATGATGCGCAGGTTGTACTTTTTAAGGTTGCCCAGGGTCAAGGCTCCCACATCTCGGCCTTTTTCGTCAATTACCACCATCACATCCTCCATGAATCTTCGGAGATATAGCCTCTTAAAAGCCACAATCACACCCTGGTCCATGGGCTGGATGAGTGATATCATATTTGGTGGCAAGAACATAACTCTGATACAGCCATGATGAGCCTTCTGCCGTATGCGAATTGCTGTTCGGATGTTTCGGTAATAATTTTAGAATTTTGCCCTTTTCCAGGGCCTGTTCGGATATTGGCAAGGTTTGGATAATGGCAGGCCGGTTATGTGAGGTATCACATACCCGGCTTGCACACACACTGTGTGTGTGTGTGTGTGTGTGTGTGTGTGTGTGTGTGTGTGTTGTGCCTAATGATCCAATTTGACAAATAGGCTGAACTTGGATTGATAATTTTTTTCAATGAAAATATTAACAAACGTATTTTTTGGGCTAAACCTAACTTAGAAACCTCATCTAACCTAACATAATTTTTTCAGCTAAATTCTACTATATATACAAATATTTTGCACTAGTTGGGGATTGAACCCCCGATATTTTAGCACGCCTCCCGAGAAGTCCATCAAAATTTCGAGACGCCTTAGTCTACTTGGCCATCAATGCTTTAGATATCAGGTGTCCAGAGTACCACTTGACATGATGCCTTTGTTGCAAGCACATACGTGGCCATGGAAGCTTTGGTACTAATTTTGTTCTCCTACTGTTTGGAATACCATAGACTCAGGCTATGTAATGTTACAAGTGTTGCCGGAGATAGGTTGAGGAGAAAGATTCTCTCAGAGGTAGGGATGTGTCTGACACATGGATTGTCCCTTGAAAGAGTGTGTGTCAAGGTCCCCCTCGCCCCCTCCACCCCCTCTGACCCCCCCCCCCCTTCCCCATGTGGGGTTTGGGAACTTCCCAAAGTATTCAGAATGCAAAATAGAGAACAATATGAACACTGGACAGACCGTCCAAAACCGCATCAAAACACTATCAACCAATCTAGCATCTTTATGAAACTATATTTATTAAATGGCTATGTGACCTATGTCAGAAAAGATTTAGTTTTGTATGGAACTTTGGAGTAATTTAAAAAACTGGTATAATTGCTTGTCACCTCCTACTACTACCACCACAAGTTTCCAAAATGTTCCAGAAATATGTGCTGGTGGACACTACTTAAATATTAATAATAACTTTTATTTGAACATGATACATAGTTGTGCAAGAACTTTACTACAGATAATAATACCCTGAATATTCCTCATCACATCCCGGTCACCTCTGCTCAGTACACGAAACTGTCACTGTGGGTTTATTTATTCATAAGTATCTATGATACCTGAGTATTTCTAATAAGTCACAAATATTTCCAGATATTCCTGAAAGGCTTTGAGTGTTACTAAATATCTTTATCTCATACTTGTCTAGCTTGCTTCAGTGTGAGTTTACACATTCCTGGGTATTTGAATATATTTCAGAATTTCAAGATATTCACGAGTATTTAATAATAATAATAATAATAATAATAATAATAATAATAATAATAATAATAATAATAATAAATCTTTATTTACTACAAGTACATGTACAAGGTATACAGTCCTAGCTGACAACAATGACATACTACTATATGCAGAGCAGTTCGGGCAAATTAGGTCAGTGTCCCAGGATGCGACCCACACCAGTCGACTAACAACCAGGTACCTATTTACTGATGGGTGAACATAGACAACAGGTGTAAAGAAACACGCCCAATGTTTCCACCCTGGCTGGGAATCGAACTCAGACCCTCACCGTGTGAAGCGAGAGCTTTAGCCACCAGAGTCTGAGTAATTTCTTATTTCCCACCTTTCGACACCTCATGACTATTGAAAATTATCAGAGATGGTTTAAATAATGTTCTCCTGAAACCTCCCTATTAAACTGACATTACTAATTGATTTCCTCACCTTTTTATCGTGGTTTTAATTTCTATCAGTCTACCCTCGTAAAAGAAAATGTGAAAAATACAAATTACAATAACCGAAGAAAGTCAGTGCGTCATCGGCGACTGTCTGTCTTATTTCTATTGGTGTCCTTCAATCTTGTCCCCCAGGATGCAACCCACACCAGTTGACTACCACCCAGGTACATACTGCTAGGTGAACAGGGACAGCAGGTGTAAAGAAACATGCCTAACGTTTACAACTATGTTGGGGATTGGACCATGGATACTCAGTATGTGAGACGAGAGCGTTACCAACCGAACAACGACCTAAATAGCATTGCAGCTACACCCGATCCACTATTAGCAATTCCCAATGTAAAGTGATACAACACGTGAGATAAGATTTTGTTGGATTTTTAAGCCCGGAGGTAAAGCCACCCAGGATTACTAAGACAGGCAGTGCGTCAAAACGTGCAGGACGCGTTGGGAGAGAGTGGTCTGTTGCCACCATTCCCTATCTGACCGATAACTCATGAAACCACATTATTCCCTACCTGACCGATAACTCATGAAACCACATTATTCCCTACCTGACCGATAACTCATGAAACCACATTCCCTACCTGACCGATAACTCATGAAACCACATTCCCTACCTGACCGATAACTCATGAAACCACATTCCCTACCTGACCGATAACTCATGAAACCACATTATTCCCTACCTGACCGATAACTCATGAAACCACATTCCCTACCTGACCGATAACTCATGAAACCACATTCCCTACCTGACCGATAACTCATGAAACCACATTGCATAATTAGCAATCTGGCGATTTTGTACGGCACCCTTACTTAAGATTGTGTATGATTGTCGAGTTTTTATAACCCATGAGTCAAGTGTTACAGTGCATGACCATCATGTTTCTTTCAATGATGGAACTGATGGGTACAATGACCTGACCTGCTGCCCAGCTTAGAGGACGAGTGTGAGAACTTACATGGTTGAAGACTCATTCGACTCCTGTGTTGTAATACTTGAATACTGATATTGGGCTTGTATAGTTTTCAGTGGATTACCTGTCTTTCCCACAGATGAGAGCGGGGACGGAGTACAAGGCATCTGTAAACACCCCCGACTCTGTGGGATGGTGTATTCTTAATCAGCTTGTGTTTCAGTGTCCCATTTTATTTTAAAAACAATATTTATAGTGATTTTTTCTTACACTAAATCAGTTTTACAGGATAAAAGCTGTTATCGTACCTCATCTCATTTCAAAGCCCAGGCCTAAGGTATACTATCACCCCTAGGATGCAACCCACACCAGATGACTAACGCCCAGGCACCTACTTACTGCTAAGTGAACAGGGGCACCAGGTGTAAGGAAAGATGCCTAACGTTTCAACACATGAAGCGGAACGACCCACGTACTCAGTAGGTAAGCTAAGTTGTTTGTCAATCGCCCAACTCTTCATGGACTCTGGGTAGATTTTCATTGTAGGGTAAAAACAGCACTATTTTCCTGAGGGTCAACTACCTAGGTTCAGTCCTGCAGAAAGTCTTCCTAGCTGACAATAACATCTTCTCAATAAAATCCCTAAGACAGACCACTTTTGTGGCCATGTTTAATATCTTACTGTAATTTTCATCCCTAAATATTCCAGACTGCAAATATACAAGGCTCTCAGGACTCCTAGTTTCTTGACTGGTGAATATATGACAACATATTGGTTAATATATGACAACATATTGGTTAATATATGACAACATATTGGTTAATATATGACAACATATTGGTTAATATATGACAACATATTGGTTAATATATGACAACGAAATTGGTTAATATATGACAACATATTGGTTAATATATGACAACGTATTGGTTAATATATGACAACATATTGGTTAATATATGACAACATATTGGTTAATATATGACAACATATTGGTTAATATATGACAACATATTGGTTAATATATGACAAATATTGGTTAATATATGACAACGTATTGGTTAATATATGACAACATATTGGTTAATATATGACAACATATTGGTTAATATATGACAACATATTGGTTAATATATGACAACATATTGGTTAATATATGACAACGTATTGGTTAATATATGACAACATATTGGTTAATATATGACAACATATTGGTTAATATATGACAACATATTGGTTAATATATGACAACATAATTGGTTAATATATGACAACGTATTGGTTAATATATGACAACATATTGGTTAATATATGACAACATATTGGTTAATATATGACAACATATTGGTTAATATATGACAACATATTGGTTAATATATGACAACATATTGGTTAATATATGACAACATATTGGTTAATATTTGACAACATATTGGTTAATATATGACAACATATTGGTTAATATATGACAACATATTGGTTAATATATGACAACATATTGGTTAATATATGATAACGTATTGGTTAATATATGACAACATATTGGTTAATATATGACAACATATTGGTTAATATATGACAACATATTGGTTAATATATGACAACATATTGGTTAATAATGACAACATATTGGTTAATATATGACAACGTATTGGTTAATATATGACAACATATTGGTTAATATATGACAACATATTGGTTAATATATGACAACATATTGGTTAATATTGACAACATATGGTTAATATATGACAACATATTGGTTAATATATGACAACATATTGGTTAATATATGACAACATATTGGTTAATATATGAAAAACATATTGGTTAATATATGACAACATATTGGTTAATATATGACAACGTATTGGTTAATATATGACAACATATTGGTTAATATATGACAACATATTGGTTAATATATGACAACATATTGGTTAATATATGACAACATATTGGTTAATATATGACAACGTATTGGTTAATATATGACAACATATGGTTTAAAATATATGACAACAATTGGTTAATATATGACAACATATTGGTTAATATATGACAACATATTGGTTAATATATGACAACATATTGGTTAATATATGACAACATATTGGTTAATATTGACAACATATTGGTTAATATATGACAACAATATTGGTTAATATATGACAACATATTGGTTAATATATGACAACATATTGGTTAATATATGACAACGTATTGGTTAATATATGACAACATATTGGTTAATATATGACAACATATTGGTTAATATATGACAACATATTGGTTAATATATGACAACAATATTGGTTAATATATGACAACATATTGGTTAATATATGACAACATATTGGTTAATATATGACAACATATTGGTTAATATGACAACATTGGTTAATATATGGCAACATATTGGTTAATATATGACAACATATTGGTTAATATGACAACATATTGGTTAATATATGACAACATATTGGTTAATATATGACAACATATTGGTTAATATATGACAACATATTGGTTAATATATGACAACATATTGGTTAATATATGACAACATATTGGTTAATATGACAACATTGGTTAATATATGGCAACATATTGGTTAATATATGACAACATATTGGTTAATATGACAACATATTGGTTAATATATGACAACATATTGGTTAATATATGACAACATATTGGTTAATATATGACAACATATTGGTTAATATATGACAACATATTGGTTAATATATGACAACATATTGGTTAATATATGACAACATATTGGTTAATATGACAACATATTGGTTAATATATGACAACATATTGGTTAATATGACAACATATTGGTTAACTTCCTGTTAACTGTAAATTTAAATCAGGTAATACGATGAATTAGAATACATAAGAACAACAGTTTGTTATCTGTTTTATATTCTTAGTTAAGGAATTATGTTATTATTATTTTATGTTTACAGTTGGTGAGGCTAGAGCAGCGCATGACCTGATGATGACCTGATGATGACCTGATGATGACCTGATGATGACCTGATGATGACCTGATGATGACCTGATGATGACCTCGAAGGAGTTTAACGTCTAATTAAATAAGATTTAAGATTTGTTAGGATTTTTAACCCAGGAGAGAGTTAGCAACCCAGCGTGACCCAATAAAGTCAGTGCGTCATCGAGGACTGTCTTATTTCCATTTGGGTCTTGCAAACATGTCCCCCAGGATGCCACCCACACCAGCCTGCTAACACCCAGGTACCTACTTAATGCTGGATGAATAGAGATAGCAGGTGTAACGAGAGATGCCCAATGTTTCACCTGTGCCGGGATCGATCCCCGGTCCTTCAGTGTGAGCTGAGGACGCTATCAACCGAGCCAGGAGATAAGATTTCGTTCGGATTTTTAACCCCGGAGGGTTAGCCACCCAGGATAACCCAAGAAAGTCAGTGCGTCATCGAGGACTGTCTAACTTATTTCCATTGGGGTCCTTAATCTTGTCCCCCAGGATGCGACCCACACCAGTTAACCCCGAAGCAGCATATTTGCACAGGGGAATAAAAGGGAACATGGAATATTATCTTCTATGTTAAGGAAAATACCTATTCTGATTTGTGCTTGTAGAGGTCCTTTGAATTATATTCTTCTTTCGAAAGGCTGGGTTGGATTTTATGGATGAGTTCCTTCTCTGGATGATGAAAGTTTGGCTTGCCACTCTGCAACATACTCTGCATGACTCTGATCACTTGTCGCACATCTTCCCATGGAGTAGGGCATTTTCTTTGATTTGACAATAATGGTACAGGCGAGTAACTCCTGGTGACACAAAGCCTTGTGGAGAGCTGAGAGTGATTGCAATCATGACATGCTGCTCCAACAGTGGGACCTAGAGAATGCATAGGTGAGAGGTTCTTTGACCCGGTCGGTACAGAATATCAAAGTCATAACACGATAGTTCCTTCCTCAGCGTAAGATCTTGTCATTCTTTATCTCCTTTTGTGCTCTTGTCGAACCATATCATCACGGGACCGTTGGTCAGTCCTTATGGTGAAAGTCTACCTGGTTAAATATGCCTCAGTGGCGAAATGCTTCTATGATGCCTGGGCTTCCTTTTCTACAGGCAGCATAACATTCTCTGATCCTGAAAAGTTCTCCGATAAGAAGGCTACTGTCGTCCTGCCTGAGATAAGACCTGAGCAATGGCAATGTCAGATGCATCCGTTTCCACTTGAATGGTAGAGGAATCATCAATGGCTTGAATACTGAGTTTTCACTGTCCTGTTTGGAGAGTTTGGAAAGCGGCTTCTGCTTCTTTGTCACAGGAAATGTGGTTGCACTCAATGGGCGGACTTACTTGAATAGTTGTTGATCATTGTGAGTATAAGCAAACGAAGATCCAAGAGTTTTCGGAGTGACTTTTTGTCTTGAAGGCATTGGAAGTTCCAGTAGAGGTCGTAGTCGTTCAGGGTCTGGGAATATTGATCCTCTTTCCCACTACATAACCAAGGATTCTAGGCTTTAGTGTAAAAGTGCACTTGTCTCATTGTTAACTGATATTTTTTTCTGGGCGGCTTCCCTTCCTAAAAAATTCTCAAGGTTTGCATATGTTTCTCTGGGTCTTGCAAAAAATTGTAAATTATCTAAAATACTCGTAAGTTCAGAGTTGCTCTTCCCTGAATGCGTGAATCCTTAATTCTTGGAAAGGCTGGCTACCATTGGTGACTCAAAAGGGAATCTGGTTAAAAACTGATACAGGCCATAACTGCCTGAATCGCTGTGAATGGGTTTATCTTCATTCCTTATAGGGACTTGATGATAGGCAATCTGCAGATCAATTGTGCTAATCACGTTGTACTGAGCAATTTTGTTCACTGTATCGTCAAATTCGAGTAGAGGGTACCCATCAAGAAGTGTAAATTTTGTTGATTGTCTCAGAGTAATCGATAGCCAGTCTCCGTTTCTATAACCATCTTTAACACAACAACCTTGTTGCACGCCAAAGGGGGATCACTTCCGTTCTATTATACCCTACTTCAGCGGCCATCTGAGTTTCTTTCTCATGAACATCCGTCCTCATAAGATAGCGGCGTGACTTAGTGATTTAGGATGGCAACGCGGTAAGATTTGCAAACAGCTTTGGTGGGTCTACCTTAAATTGCTAAAGTCCACAGACAAACAAGAGGAGGCAGTTCACCTCCATATGTTAAGGTGACATACCATGCAGGTTCTGAAAGTCCTGACCAAGGGATAAGCTCAGGACAGTTGTGGCGAATAGCTAAATGTACATTTGATAATCTTCCATTAACTCTGAGATTTTCCTTACAAAAAACCTAAAGGTCTGAATAGAGAGGATGTTGATGCCATGGAAACGGTACCTGATGAGTGTGTAGAGTACATGGAGAGCCGTTTTAACTAAGTCAAGGTTGATGATGAAACTCTCTGAGAGGCCACTATCAATAAGAACATCTACTTTGTTCCTTTGATGAATACTTCACAATGCCTTTGACAGGAATTTGGAGTAGCCGCAGAAGTCATGTTGTAGGTCGCCTATGATCATGGAATTGTGTGGAGGCACCTAGCTCTTGTGATGCATTAGCACGACATACTTTAGCAAAGTGACCTTCGTGTCCGCATTTATGGCAATTGTTCCACGAGCCAGGACACTTTGGACGTGGATGTCTTGAAAAACCACAAAAAGAACCACACCCTTACTGTGCTGCTTTCATGATGGAGGTTCCCCGTAAATTCATTGAAGAGTTTTGGTCTGGAATTGCGAACTTTCACCGATGATGGTGAGGGTACTGTATACTTCAGAATTCTTCTGGGCTGAAAACTAGAGGTCTTGCTGGTCAAGGCTGCGGCTAAGTCGAGAGTTGTATTTCCAATAAACGCGTGCCTTATTATTGGTGATTGCAGGCCAATGATAAAAGCATCCTTGATGGACCTCTTAACAATATGGCAAGTGTTCTGTTGGACGTGTTACCGTCCTTACCAAAAATTTTCTGTGCTTGAAAGTATTCCTCTAAGGACTATTCAATCTGCGGCGGCGTGTTGCAAGGCGACAATGGCGGATAGCGTGCAAGATTTTCATTTGTAGGTTTAATTATACTGAGACTTGCAGGGGTTTGTGATAGCTCTCGTAGGTATTACATCGAAATAGCCTCAAATATCTTAGGTGAACCAAAATTGATGGAGAGTTATTTTATCTAGATCTTCTTTAGGAAGGGCTCCAAGAAGTTTTCGGAAAGTTTTTACCAGTGCTTCATTCTGAGCAGCCGTTGATAAGCTGGGGTCACCAGTTAGCCTCTAGGTTTCAGTAAACGCTCCATGTTGTGAGGGTTAGTCTAGCGCAGGATCACCACAGGTAGCCCAGGATTCTATGTACAATAAATTGTGTGATAGATAAACTCAGGCTTATCTCTAGGCTTTATTGCTGATCATAGAATATTAATAGTAATTCTGCACAACAAAATATAAAGACTATTTAATTAATATGGCTTCTACAGGGATGGTGATGTCTTGCATATGTCAAGAGAAAAGGTTCCCATCTAAGGCCACATATGTAAACTCACAGTAATCTGCATCGTGATTAAGGATAAGTGGAGAGTATCACACACATAGGTTGGTGCAATGACGCACGCAAACTGGGTTGTTGTTGTTAGGGCCCCCTAGAGGTGGTGCAGTATTATCCTGCTGCTGCTCCCCACAGGACAGTATCATACATGTACTGTTTGTGACAGTGTTGTGTGTTTGTGAGGTGTTGTGTGTCTAGTGTAGTGTTGTGTGTCTAGTGTGGTGTTGTTGTGTTAGTGTAGTGTGTGACCAGTGGTTGTGTGTCTAGTGGTAGTGTTGTGACAGTGTTGTGGCTAGTGTTAGTGTTTGTGACAGTGTTGTGTGCTAGTGTAGGAGTTGTGACGTGTTGGGTGTCTAGTGAGTGTTGTGACAGTGTTGTGTGGCTAGTGTAGTGCTGTGACTGCGTTGTGTGCCTAGTTGTAGTGTTGTGGACAGTGTTGTGTGTCTAGTGTAGTGTTGTGGGACAGTGTTGTGTGTCTAGTGTAGTGCTGTGACTGTGTTGGTGTGTCTAGTGTAGTGTTGTTGACAGTGTTGTGTGTCTAGGTAGTGTTGTGGTGACAGTTATTGTGTGTCTCAGTGTAGTTATTTGGCAGTGTTGTGTGTCTAGTGTAGTGTTGTGACCGTAGTTGTGTGTCTTGTGTGTGTTGTGACAGTGTTTTGTGTCTAGAGTAGTGTTGTGACTGTTGTTTGTGTTAGTTGTAGTGTTGTGACAGTGTTGTGTGTCTAGTGTAGTGTTGTGGGCGTGTTGGTGTGTCTAGTGTAGTGGTTGTGCAGTGTTGTGTGTCTAGTGAGGTGTGTGTGTTAGTTGTAGTGTTGTGCAGTGTTGTGTGTCTAGTGTGGTGTTGTTGGTGTTAGTGTAGGTGTTGTGTGGTCTAGTGAGGGGTTGGTGTCTAATGTAGTGTTGTGACAGTGTTGTGTGTTAGTGTAGTGTTGTGACAGTGTTGTGTGATCTTTTGTAGTGTAGTGCTGTGTTAGTGTGTCTATTGTAGTGTTGTGACAGTGTTGTGGTGTCTAGTGTAGTGTTGTGAAAGTGTTGTGAGTCTAGTGTAGTGTTGTGACAGTGTTGTGGGTTACTGCAGTGTTGTGACAGTTGTTGTTTTAGTGAGGTGTTGTGTTGTGTCTAGAGTAGTTTATGACCAGTGTAGTGTGTATAGGTGTAGTGTTGTGACAGTTGTTGTGTGCTAGTGTAGTGTTGTGACAGTTTTGTGTGTTAGTGTAAGTGTTTGTGACAGTGTTGTGTCTGTGTAGTGTTGTGACAGGTTGTGTGTCTAGTGTAGTTCTCAGTAGTAGTAAGTAGTAACCAGTTTACAGTAATTCGCAGTAGTTAGTAACGTAGGTAACCAGTTACAGTAACCAGTGTCCGTTGACTCACGACCAAGTTTCTTGAGTGACGGTCTTCAATGTGCTGAGGCTGGACATATTTCAAAAAACCACTACGGGGGGTACTTGCCAGCCGCCTAGTCTGTTTGACGAGGTGTAACAGGAGATAGGTACTCGGCTGGCAAGAGCTCTGTTCACATAACAGCATTTATTCGTATAAAACAGCCTATGTGAATATTTATACCCTTCAATGGTGGTGCGGAACTGTCACATTAACAATCCAATGGTGATGCGCCCCTCGTACATTAACAATCATGGTGGTGAGACCCTCGTCACATTAACAATCACTGGTGGTGCGACCCTCGTCACATTAACAATCACTGGTGGTGCAACCCTTGTCACATTAACAATCACTGGTGGTGCGACCCTGGTCACATTAACAA